ATCAGAACAGTAAAAACAAGAGCCCCGGTTTCAATGAGATACGAGGAGTTGGAACAGGAAAGCTTTAGAAGCTGTGGGATTTCACAGAAGAACTGGTTGATGTTATTGGAGCAGAAAGGGATGATAAATGTGCAGACAGTGTTCAGTGTTGCATCCAAAAACCCAAAGATCCATGCGCTGGTGGCCATTTTGATACAGACTCCCCTATTCATTTCTCTCACATAGTTCAGTGGATTGCAGATGGCAACATAACGATCATAGGCCATGACTGTCAAGAGGACAAATTCCGATGCCCCAGCCCAAAAGAAGAAGAAGACCTGAGCCATACATCCATAATATGAAATTCTCTTAGTGTTCATCAGGGAATTGGCCATGGCTTTGGGAACAGTGACTGAGATGAAACCCATATCAATGATGTTTAAATTAACCAGGAAAAAGTACATTGGGGTTTGCAGGTGTTTGTTGAGGGCTACAGCAGTTATCACGAGAAGATTTCCAATCACAGCTGCCAAGTAGATGAGGAAAAAACCCAAAAAGTATATAATGTGCAGCTCAAGAACATCAGAGAATCCTTTGAGCTGGAACTCATTCACAAAGCTATGGTTGCTCATTTCTTTCTTGGCAAACTGTAGCCAGCCTAAAGTTAGTGAAGAAGAAAAACGCTCATTGATACTCTTAATTAATGATTTGAGTCTGCAAGAGGCATGTACAACTTGGACCCCATGCTTGTCCATCAGTCATAAATAATAGCCCACCAGAGAGTAAGCAAGCCTCCTGCTTTTAACTGCATGTTCTGGACTGAAAAACTAAGTGGCTGTGTGCTATGAAACACCTGGCAGTACAACCACAATACAAGACTCTGCTAATTTTAGAGTGCCACAACTTGTGCAGGTTTGGTGTATAAAATATGCACACATATATTATTCTGGTATACACATTTGCAGTTTTAATGAGATGTGAGAAAACAGTCCCAATACTGATTTTTGAGGGGTGGGGTGTCATAGAGTTTCCTGCATATGATTTTATCCTAACAAAAAAATCATGGCCTCACAACAGTAATGATGGGTTGGCAACAGTGGTGAAGGTTTCCTCCATTCATGGATGAACTTGGACCTCTCCCTCTTAAAGTCGCCTCCTTCTCACAACACAAAGACAAAATTCTGCAGTATCCAATAACCTCCCAGTCTCCGTTTCTGGGAGCTTAGAATTGCTCCCTTGGTGTTTCATGTTCTGTACATACAATTCAGAGAAACCACACCATGGACTTTCTAAAAAATTAGAGTATCTTTTGTGGTGCTCATTCAGTAAAATGACAGCAATAGTCTAGATTGCAAATATTCAGAATTTTCATGGCGACATATGGGATAAGCTTTGGTTTCTTCCACTGTGTGGAAAAACTGGAATGTAAAGCTAGTTCCCTAGATAATTAGAGGAAATTCTTTTTTGACAAGTTCAGCTCATCATACATTCTGTGTTAGTTCAGTCACAGGTATAAGGTGAATTTTAGCAACCTAACTAGTACATTAGAATCTCAAGCTAAGGACTTCTCAAACCCCAGCCATCCTCTCTTAGATTATTTTCTATTTAACCATGCCAAATATCAAGGTTGTGTAACCTGTGTCATTCAATCAGCCCCAGCCAGAATGGTCAGGGACAATGGAAGTTGCAATCCAGCAACATCTGTAGGGCCATCTATGATCCTATCTAGGGTTCCCACAAATTTTCTCTGAGCTAATGACTTTAGATTAAATTAAAGGAATAAATTATACCCATCTAGAATTTATTATCATCTTCTGAATGCAAAGAACTACTTTCCTTATCCAAGGGAAATCCATCTTACCTTGGATCTGCTGCTTATACACATTTGTTTGGCATATTCCATTCCATTCTCATTCCCATCAGATTATACAACTGCTTGCACTGTGGACCTGGAAAGTATAGCTGGTCTTGCATATGTGAAAGAAGATTATCCAACATATATTAGGAAAACAGACTATCACGGTGATGCATCCAACAAGTGAAAGGAACAAGATATTATTATTACTATAATTACTGGTTTATTGTATATATTTCTTCCAAGATTTGTACAATTTTCTCATACTTTCAGTGATCTTTCAGTATTTCTCTATTAAGGTCTTTATATTTATGTAACTTTCACAAATTTAACTTGAGAAAGGATCTGCCAATTTATCTTCTATAATGAAATAAATGTGATACTGAAATCATCTACATTGTGCTCCAGGTCTCTGCTTCTGATTTCAAACTACAGTGGAAGTGTGGTTTTTGGGGGGAAGGAAAATTATATATGCTCCTTCTGAAACAGTACTTAGAGATCCCCCCCCAGGAGCCCAGTCCAGATTATTTCCAAAGTCCCAAGAGAATGATCATTATGTCTAAATTATTTGAGAGCCAAAGTGAGAAAAACATGTTATGGAATGTCACTGTTTGCAGAGGACAAAGACGAATGTTCAGGATGGAGCTTTCAAATGATCCATCATGAGTGACAGACCCAGCATATTGCTGTCAGATGTGCAGATCGGTCTACAAAGTTATCCTGAACTGCTTAACTTTGAAATGCATTTCAAATGAGTTCAAATATTAAAAAGGGGAGATCCCAGACCATGGTCTGAAGTAATGTGATTAAAAGGCATTGTTGAAGATAATGAGGTCTGGGTCCATCTCCTACCTAGATGGAAAACAGCATGGAAATCCTATGTATCACATAATCTTTAGTGTGATCATTGAAGAGTGCCATCTTGAAAGAAAGGTGGTGTATAAATGTCAAGGCTTCAGGGGAATCCTGTCCTTCCCCTGGCAGCAGCCAAAAAAGCAGATAAAGACGAAAAGTCCTTACCACATAATTTATTCAGTATTCACAGAGAGACAAAGAATGTAGTCTCTATTCAATGATGACACTGCTCCAAGTAAAGTTCCACCCCCTTACGTGTCCCCTATTCAATGTCACTCCATCAGTTAATCTCAGTTTTCTGCCTCTTAGCTCTCTCTTCTAATACCCTCGATGCCCATCTGGCCTTGGGAGAGGTGGGGTCAGGAATGCTTTCCAAGGACACTGAGTGTGTCAGCTGTCTGGTGCTTCTCCTTCTTCCTGCTGTTCCTCTTCCAGTATTTCCCAGCTTCTGCCCTCTGCAGCCTCTGAACTATGCCCTTCTGCAAACCACTGTTCTAAATCTATACTGTCCTCTTGTTCTCGGGAAGGTTCAGGAGAAGGGGGGAGGGCACCATTCCTCTTCAGTCCAGTTCCTGACAATAAATGTAATAGTGAAATTAAGATGATTATGGGAACAGCTTCAGATATTCTTATTCTTCCCTCATTTCTCCCCCGACTGTTCCCTTGTTCCAGATATCCTGCTCCATATATCATTCCAGACATTTCATGTCCTTTGGTTTCTCTACCTTTGGTGAATTCCACCTTTGCAATGTTCAGTTGCTTATGCTCCTTCCCTATGTTCTATTTGGTGCCTTTTTCAATTGGAAAACCTATGATGTACCTGTGACATTGGGGGTGAGATGAGAAGAAGCTATGCAGCTCCTTTCCTCCAGTTGTGCTATCATTGTTATGCCACATCAGCCTACACCCCACCTCAACTCAACTGGTTCCACTTGCTAGCATGGAAGTAAAAGCTTTGGAGCAAATGAGGGGGAGAAATCCATCCCTCTGGTGTCCTCCAGGGATATACATTGAGGTCACCCTTGGGGGGGGGAAATTAATTGCTTTGGGAGGTAGAGAAATGTTCATTTTCACCCACCTTTAAAATGTATGTGTTTACAGTATGTATACTGAGAAATATAATTATAGTTCTGCTGATCTTAAATTTCTGTAGTTTTCAACAATTTATTGTATTTTCAGTAACCCTCAGATCTATTGTTGTAAATGGATTCATTCTCTGTGTTAAGCATTACCCACATTAATATTATTTGCTGAGAACTATATTCAATGAATATATAAGAAAGTACAATTTCCTACAGAGTGCAATGTCAGATTACTACATGGTTAGAGCTGACTTCATACAATCTAGGACTTTGATGCTGCACTACACATCCTCCAATAGGGTCTGTGTGATGTGAGCCTTGGATTTTTATGTATATAGGTGACTAATGTCAGTGGGAGATTAAAAGATCATTTTTAAAAATTAATTTTATTTATTTCATAAAATTTATATTGTGCTTGATTGTAGAAAACTTCAAAGTGGGTTACAGAAATAATAAAACAGCAATATTACTAGTAAAAACAATTAAAACTTTTTTTAAATTAAAAAACCCAGAAATAAACTGAAAACACGTCGCCATTTCAATCCTTTGTGTAGGCTTATCTAGCCAAAAATATTTTCAGCAGGCATCCAAAAGAGTACAGTGAAGGCACCTGCCTAATGTCAATAGGCAGGGAGTTCCACAGCATAGGTGCCACCACACTAATATATATATATATATATATATATTTGCTTTCGTAGATTTTCACGGGTACAGGAATGCAGGTTTTGGTGTTCTCGGGTGTCTTCCCGTGTAAAAGTTGGGGTGTCTAGGCGACGTTTCGACGAGGTCTCACTCGTCATCTTCAGGCTGGTGCTTTCGGCTTCTTGTTACTGGAACAGAGCAGGATCTCAGTGTTTGAGTTCCTATAAATACTGTTGAGGAGGTGTGGTGTATAGGTGGCACCTATGCTGTGGAACTACGAAAGCATATATATATATATATATATATATATCTTACAAATGCAGAACATATATTATGTGGCACCTGTAACAGTGATGAACTTTTGACAAAATGCATCCGTTGTTACTCATACTCAGGACTGAACTCAAAGGATTCAAATAACTTCAGTGCAATAGTTTAAATGGGTGAGGATGACTAGATAGATTCATACATGCATATACATATCTATGTTATGTCCCGTTTCATTCTGGCATTTGCCTATAAAAGTCCATTGTTTCTAATTAAACCTCACAGGGCTGGATACCGGATTCACAGTGGGAAAAGCTTCCTTATTTCCTGTAAGAAACAATGTACTGAAACATTTTGCAAAGTGCAACTTTGATGTCCCTGTTCCTCATGGTATAAATAATTGGATTCATCAGTGGAGGTACTACAGAATATAATACAGAAATCACCAGATCCAGATCTGAAGGTGCACCTGAGACAGGCTTCAAGTAGGCAATGGCACCAGTACTTATAAATAAGGAGACAACAATGAGATGTGGCAGGCAAGTTGAGAAGGCCTTATTTCGTCCTTGAGTAGTAGGGATTCTGAGCACTGACTTGAAAATCTGCACGTAGGAAACAACTATGAAACCAAAACAGGTAAAGACTATAAATGCACTGAAAGCAATAACTCCAACTTCAATGAGGTATAAATTATCACAGGAAATTTTCAGCAGTTGTGGGATTTCACAGAAGAACTGGTTGATGATGTTGGAGCAGAAGGTGATGGCAAAAGTGCTACCGGTGTGTAAGGCCGAGTAAAGAAGGCCAGCTATCCATGCACTGGCTGCCATCTGGATGCAGGCTTTCCTGCCCATCACTGTCTCATAGTGCAGTGGGTCACAGATGGCAACATACCTATCATACGCCATGCCTGTGAGCAAGAACAAATCTGAGATCAAGAAGAAGAACAAGGAATACACTTGTGCAACACACCCAGAAAATGAAATCTCTCTGGTGTTCCAAAGTGAATTGATCATGGCATTGGGGATGGTGACAGAAATGGAACCAAGGTCAACAACAGATAAATTCACCAAGAAAAAGTACATGGGGGTATGAAGCTGTTGATCAAGGGAAACTGCTGAGATGATAAGAAAATTTGCTGTCAAGGCTGCCAAGTAAATCACTAAAAAAAGAGTGAAGTACAAAACGTTTTGCTCCCAGTTGTCAGAAAAATCCAAGAGAAGAAAAGTAGGAAGGACAGTTGAATTAGGCATTTTCTCCTACAGATGTGGCATGGCTGCTGATACAAAAGAGAGAGAGAAAGAGCTTATTTAATGCATGTATTCAGCAATTTATTAACATTTTTCATGATCTGTCACAATCAGTAACGATAGAAATGAATATATATATATATATATATATATATATATTTGCTTTCGTAGATTTTCACGGGTACAGGAATGCAGGTTTGGTGTCCTCGGGTGTCTTCCCGTGTAAAATATATATATATATATATATATATATATATATATATATATAAAATTCCCCTTATGATAGACAGCTTTTTGGAAGTAAAGAGACTTCAAACAATTAGAGTTGCAACCCTATATGCTTTTGAATAGAAATACATAAAATTTTGCTGTGAATGATGTACCTGAGGTGTTGTCAAAGCTTGCCAGGTTGTAGTTTACAACCTTCAAAGACTCAGCTGCTTGAGTCGAAGAAAAGGAAGCATTTCAAAAGCCTGAAAATTCTTTTCTGGTTCAGGGTAAAATCTGAACTGGGGAAGAACTGGAGAAGAACTCATGGACCCTCTCATTGCTCCTAAACACAGTTTCCTGCTACCCAAAAAAGAAACATGGGAATAAATGAAGCTACTTAACTCTGAGTCAGAAATTTGGTCTATCTAGCTAAAACTGTCTACACGGACTGGCAGCAGTTCTACAGATGTTCCAGCTAGGATCTCTCCAGTCCCTACATGGATATGCCAAGTACATGGAACTATGTGAAAAAAAGGATATAAATGTAAAAAGAAGAGCAAAAGACAGAAAATATGCTTTCAGGGACTTTGTTTTAGTCAATCAAAAGGCTCTCAGTTCATTAAAGTTTATGTTCTACCATGCCACAAAGTCTATGCAACAATTCTGTTAAACTTTAAAGTGCCACAGAAATCTATAGGTCATTTCATGTTATACATTTGAAAGCATATCCAAGCTCATTTGAAGCACATGACTTTTCCCCAAAGAACCTTTAAATATGTGCTTTAAGTGTGAGTTAAGTTTGCTTTCAGTGTATAGCTTGGATCTGCCCTATGTTGGTTTTCCTGCAACAAATTAGACACAACTAACATGTCTGGAAGTATGGCTTAACACCAGGTTTTTGGAAATGGTTACATTGAATAAATTTATAACATATAAAAAGCCCCCCTCCCCCACCTCTATTGTACCTATACATACCAGTAAAGGATACGGTCCTTTTCCTTCAATGGGGATGCCCAATATGCTGCCAACTTTGTTTATTCCCACATATTCCAATGACATTTGCTGGAAAGGAGGCCTGCTGTCCAGTTATGAGTAATCCTGATCTAATAAACTCTACTCATTGGTTAACAATTCTTTCAGCAATTTTTATTTTCAAAACTATATAGATCTTAATTCTGATCATAAAACAGGAGATGGTTTGATTATTGAATTATATGTGTCATTAAAGAATCAGTATTTGTGAACTAGTGACTATTTTAGCTAATATTTCTAAATTAAGTGTTGAATCGTACAGCTGATTCTTCAGAGTCACTGCATTTGATGGGGGGGCACAGGTGCACATAGTGTGCTGAAAAAGGGCACACCCCCGAGTCTAACAAATGAGATGAGATGAAGAGATTTGTGAAAATTAAAGACAACATGTTCCTGTGAGGAGATAAGACACTGTGTATGTTTTTGTGTGTAAGAGAGAGTAGAGGAAGTTTGCATTCAGCAAAAGAGAAGTGTGCATACACAGGGCATTAACCCAGACATTTAAACAGTGCAAGTGTGTGCACTCAGAAGTAGATCCTGCTGTGTTCAGTCAGCTATATTCACATACAAAAATGCAAGGTGCATAGGTAAGGGTGCAATCCTATGTACACATATCTGGCAGTCAGTCACATTGAATTTAAAGGGGATTGCTTTTCAGTAATCACAGATCTTTTGCTTTCTGTATGGATTCCATACCACATGAATAGATCCATGCAGAAACCAGGTTACTGCACTTTACCATAAAAATACAGCAGCTACAGAATATTTACTGCCAGTATTCAGCAGTCCAGAGACATCCCAGCTATGAAATGGTAGGGTGTGATTTTTTGATGCTGACACTGATTTCAGCCTATGTATTGACTTGACAGTTATACACTGCTTAACACATATATAAAATATTTCAAGGGTTCAGACTGCTTCACAAATGCTTACAACAATTGAAATATCTAGGCTGCAGTTGCTTTCTCAATGTTAAAGTGAGTTTAGCAGATGTAAGGAGAGGATGTTGTGATGGATTATGCCAGGCCACCTGCCACGTTTTCTACATTTCAAATTATTCTTTGGCATTTCCTACTGCATGACAATGGGGAAAACACTAGTAGGGAGAGTTTATTTTTTCTTTCTTTTTTACCTTTGCATGCTGCATTGTCATTAGTCTCGCTTGATTTCTTCATTTGTATTTCATGAAAATAAAGTCAAAATCTCTAAAATTAGCTTCTTGATTTTCCATATCTTCTATAGCAATGAGCTGTGTGGGTAAATATGTACCTTGTAGTGACAAGGTTTTATGACTCTACACTCTGCATGTGTTCCTGGAGAAACTACAAATCCCAGTAGCATTCAATAGTAGTGGTCCCAAGAGAAATTATCTATGAATCAAAATATGTCTTGAACACTCCACACATGAGGAGTGTTCCTAGGAGCACTATGCTCTCCCCAACATATATTGCATCACATACAAGGCCAATATTCTGTGTGGAAAACAATAAATGCAATAGCCTGGCCAGCATGATTGTTCCACTTAAGAAAAAAAAAGTGAGGGACAATGCACAAATTAGGACATTTCAAACAATCCAAACCTCACATGATGCACATAGTGGATGCTTGTGACTGGTATCATTCTATTATCGCATTGTAGTGTAGCCCAGAGATTTCATGACCTTGACTTCAATGAGGTTGAAAATTCAATTAGGTCAACTTTACCTCCATTAATTCCTACCACCATTCATATTGATTAATAGTAAAGTCTTTTGTCCATGTCCATGTTAGTCTCCCCACTGTGATCACATATTGGAATAATATTTCATAATTCTTTTTTTTTTTTTAGTTATATATCCTTTAAGTTCTTTAAGTTACACCCAGTTCTGTATATTTAGGGTTTTCCCAGATCTTGTCCCACTTAAATGGAGTCAGCAGTGATATTTTTCTAGAAAAAGAGGTGCTGGAACTCACCATGAACCCCTCCCTTGCAATAGCAATGGTGCCCACCTGATAGGTGCTGGAACTGAGTTCCGATGAGTTCCGGTTGAAGAAAAGCCCTGGGGTCAGGATGTACCAGAGTCCTGAAGGGAGATATATATTTGGTGCTGGCCACATACCAGGAAAAGGGCATCTGATTGGTTATATTTCGACACCTGTTGACAATTAAAAAACCCAAAAAAAACCCTATTGTCTTGGGAAGTGTAAATTAGGAAGCTTTGCCTTTAAATGCAAATTGCTCCAAATCTTTTCCCCATTTCTTTGATCAGCTAACAATTGCTTCTGGGGCGTTTTATATGTAATTTGAATGTGATCTATTATTTTAAATCATATGTCTGAAATTACTGTAAGTTACTTGGTACAAAGCTGAAGACCTGTCTTACCCACAGCCTTATTCAGCTTGACTCTATGCTATAGATTTTCTAAGCAAAAGGGAATGGGAAGTGACCTTGCTGGCAGGTACTGGCAAGACTGAGAAGCACTTCTATCAATAAAGTGAGGCAAGTGAGGGCTTCTCTAAAACCATGCTGAAAAACTTCTATCAATGTTCTTTGATCTAACATTGTCATTTGGTGGGATGGAGTATATTCTACAAGTTTTGGCGGATTATTCAGCAGTGGCCATTACCGCATAGAGCTAGGCTTTCGCAGCAGTCCATGCTCTGTTAACCTTCTTATTGAACTGCTGCATTGCATTACACATGGTGTTGCCCTTGAATATGACTAAGAAGCCTTAGTTGGTGCAGAACCTGGCTGCCAGATGGAGTCATGTTACTCCAGTTATAAGTGGCTGGCACTGGAACTTACCTTTGTAACTACCCATATTAGCCTGCTTGTCACATACATTCTTAGGTTAATAATAATAATAATAATAATAATAATAATAAATTTTATTTATATCCTGCCCTCCCCAGCCGAAGCCGGGCTCAGGGCGGCTAACAACAATCAAATAATTAAACAATCAAATAATCCAACATTCTAAAAACATTTCATTATAAAAATTAATTAAAATCAAATCAATGGCAACCGTTAAGCAAAATTCTGTGCAGGTTGCCAGAGGAGGAGTCAGGCTGGGCCCTGACCAAAGGCCTGGTGGAACAACTCTGTCTTGCAGGCCTTGTGGAAAGATGTCAGGTCCCGCAGGGACCTAGTCTCTTGTGACAGAGCGTTCCACCAGATTGAAGCCGCAGCCGAGAAAGCCCTGGCTCTAGTTGAGGCCAGCCTAACCTCTCTGAGGCCTGGGACCTTCAGGATGTTTTATTTGCAGACCGTAGGTTCCTCGGTGGGGCATACCAGGAGAGGCGGTCCCGTAGGTATGAGGGTCCTAGGCTGTATAGGGCTTTAAAGGTTAAAACCAGCACCTTAAACCTGATCCTGTACTCCACCCGGAGCCAGTGCAGCTGGTATAGTACCGGATGAATGTGATCTCGCAGCAAAGACCCCATAAGGAGTCTCGCCGCGACATTCTGCACCCGCTGGAGTTTCTGGGTCAGTCTCAAGGGCAGCCCCACGTAGAGCGAGTTACAATAATCCAGTCTGCAGGTGACCGTAACATGGATCACAGTGGCTAGGTCAGGGCGAGAGAGATAAGGGGCCAACTGCTTAGCTTGGCGGAGATGAAAAAATGCTGCCTTTGTTATAGCTGTAATCTTGCGCCTCCATAGAGAGGGAGGTATCGAAGATTACACCCAAACTCTTAACGGACGGTGCTGGCACTAATTGCACCCCCGCAAGAGATGGGAGTTGCCCCCCCCAATCCATATTGTCACGTCCCAGCCAGAG